GGCTGGAATAGAGGGAAGATGTATGCGGGGGGGGGTCACTGCGGAGGAAAGGGGGGAAGGGAGCCTGGGGGCAGACTGAGAGCATGAGCAGACTGGGTGGGGAAGGGAGAGCAGGGGGCAGGGATAAGGGGGAGGGGAGGAGAGATACAAGGCAGCTCCCCCGCCCATTGGGGTAAGGGAGGTTGAGGGGGCTGCCCTGCCCTGCCCAGCGGGGATTTGTTCCCCTACAAATGGTCAGACCAGCAGTGGGGGATGGGCAGGGTGACCATCTGTCCCCAATTGGCAGGACTCGGGCTAAATGACCCCAGGATTCCCGGTGCCGGGACTCTGCGCCTGCCCGAGGCTCAGGGGCAGCGCCAGCCTGTTCCCCGGGGGCGGGATTGAGGTGGGCGTTAGCCCCGCTTCGCCACGAGGCCCCGCCCCTCGAAGCCCTTCCCCCTGGCCAGCCGCAAGCTAGATCCCGGCCATACTAAGAGCCTCCCAGTCTGCAGTGGAGAGACCCAGACTCGCCACCTGCCCTGGGGAGCGGCAGATGGGGCGGGCGGTGCTATGGGCACTAGGGTTCCCAGCTTGTCCCGCCCCTGTCCCGCACCTTTCATTGAGGCCCCGCCCCCCTCGCTCCATCCCCCTCCCTCTTTTGTTCACTCTCCCCCACCCTCTCCCCGGCTCATTTTCCCTGCAAGGCCCAAACAGGCGCCAGGAGCTGCAACAGTGTGAATGTGGGAGATGCACACACTTGCCTACACAGAGACTCTTTTTCCACACGCTTTCTCGGGGCCCTACGGGGGAGGTGGTGCAGGAGTCCCACAGGGCCCCGAGATAGGCAGTCTCTTGTCAGGGCCGGCCTTAGGGAAAATGGCCCCCTGGGCGAACTTGCGTTTTGGTGCCCCTGGCCCCCCTGGGCATGGCGCATCATCACCCCAATTGCCTCCCCACCATCGCTTCACCCCGAACCCCTACATTGTTCCCCATTCACCCCAACTCCTACCCCCCTCCTGTGCCCCTAAAGTCTGCCTCCCCTTCTGGCACCCACATGGGGAAACTGACCTGGATGCAGGGAAGGAGCAGCTGACATTGCTGCTCGCTCCCCCACTGGACTGCTGCTCCCCTGCCCCGGGCCCCCCTAGGGGGGTGTGAGGGGGGGGGAGCGAGGGCAGGACTCCCTGCACCCAGGTCATGTTCCCTGCCTGGGCTGCATAAGGAGAGGGCAGGAGAGCAGCAGCTCCGGATGCTGACCTCGTAGCACTGTCTCTTTAAGAAAGCACTCAGGGTCGGTCAGGCACCTGAAGGCTTGTTCAGACACAAATAGCTGGACCCAGAGAGGCAGCAGCACACACAGATTCCCCCTGTCCTGTCACCCCAGCTTAATGGAAATCGGGTACATGGTAGCGGGACACCCCAACATCAGCCTCCCCCCACCCCGCACAGCAGAGCGGAGGTGGCTCCCAGTCCAAGTGGCTGGGCTCCGGGGAGGAAGGAGGCGGGGGACAGGAGCAGTGCTGGCTGCACACTGCAGTGGAGCAGGGGGAAGGAGGGGCACCCCTGCTTCTGAGAAGTCACCTCCAACTGCCCCTTGCAGCTGAGGTCCTTCCCCCTTACTCCCACCCACCCACAGGGCCGGCCCTGGTCTCGTTCTCCTCCCCTCCCCTCCAGCAGTCCCATTCCCAGCACTCGGAGACGAGGATCTATACCTCGAACTCGGGTGCCGGCGATGGGGCGACAGACCGCGGGGTCACTGCAGGGGCACGTGCCGTAGCTGGAGCCCAGCCACAGGAGGAGTACGAGGAGAAGAGGGAGGGCAGCAGCGGGAGGGGTGCGCACCGTGACCCCTCAACAGCCACCTGCTGACCAATCGCGAGTGGGGCTTGTTCGTCCCCTGCCCTGACCCAGCCGGCCACTGGGAGCTGCACCTATGGGCGGGAGGTGGGGGGCATGTCGGCTGCTTTTCCAGAGCCGCGTGGCGCGGAGGCTAGTTGGGAGCCTGCCAGCCCTGCTGCGCGGCGCCGCCAACAGGACAGTCTACGGCCCGGTCACCCTAATTGGCACTCCAGCCCCTTGCCAGATGGAGGGTCTGGGGCTCTCTGCAGTGGCCCGGGCTCCCTGTGCAGGTGTTATCATGGCCTGGCTTCTGGTCTGGCCAGGGGGCAGGACCTCAGAGAGAAGAGGAGGAGCAGGGGGCATGGCCTTGGGGAGAGGAGGGGTGGGGCTCCTGCATGTGTCTCACTTTTGCCTTTAGAAAAGGTGGTCACCCAGAGATAGGGGCAGGCAGGAGATTTACCCCAAAGGGCTGAGAATTTACCAGGCAAATCTCCACCCAGAATCCCCCCCCACACACACGCACACACACCCTGCTTCCAATTTCATATTTGTGTTTAAAGACAATCTCCTTATTTGGGTGGGGCGGGGGGTCTGACTCTTGGGTTGACAGCACTGAACATGGGCTGGTCTGATTTCTGCGCAGGATTCGGTGTCCAACCAGAGTCGCTGGAAGCCGAAAGGAGTGGAATTGGGGTTTGGTTCAGGTTCAGTGGCCGTCGGTGTGTTCAGTTCTGGTTCAGTTACCAGGCAGTGCCCCAGAAGCAGGGAGGGGGTTGGGAGTGAGCCCTGTGGCTTGCTTCAGTGGGGAACTGAATTTGGGGCATGGGGCCTGCCTCAGGTGGGGCAATGGGAGGGAGGAGCTGCTCTAAGGGGTGGGGACGGGTGAGAGGAGGCCTGTCTAAGTGGAAGAAGAATTGAGCAGCCTTTTTCCTTGGGCTTGAAGAGTTAATGTTAACTTCTGGGACAGGGAGCCCCCACTTCTCTTCCCTTCCTCCCTCCTCCTGTGGGCTGCCCCCTTCTCTTCTCCTACTGGGACAGGCCGTTCCAGTAGCGATCACATGCCTGGGGGTTGTTTTGGTGTCTTGTTTATAATGGGTGAGATCAGAGTAGGTTTTATTTTATTTTGTCAAATATTGAGCTGAAAAATTGCTGAAACTTCATTTCAACAGGCAGCCATTTTTTTCCAAGTCCAATTCAGATTCAGGTTCACTGGGGAAGAGGAAAAATGATGGTTTAAGTCTGGTTCCAGTTCAGTTAAGCATATCGGTTCAACCTGGTTCTCTGGTTCTGTTCCGGTGTGAGTCCAGATGGGGAAATGAAATCCACAGCTGCTGAACTGTCCTCATATGGGGGGCTAGTTATTGCTAAGGCAGAGGAGGCTGGTGTCTGTCTCTGTCTGCTCATGATTAAGGCTGCGAGTTTGTCATGGAGGTCATGGAAGCTAGAAGCTTAGGGAGGGAGATGTCACCGCTTCTGAGAAGCCGGGTAGGTAGCCTGCGAGCCCAGCCAGCCCTCCCCACAGCACTAGCAGGGTCCTGGCCTACTCCCACCCGAGCACCCACAGCGACCCTTAGACTGCCCCCTGCGGAGCCCCCCCGGGCTGCTAACTCCCAGCACCTGCAGTGCCCCCCCCAGGCCACCCACCTGACCACCCACGTACTCCCCAGCACCCATGCCCCGCCCCCCACGAGCACCCACTGCACTCCCAAGAATTAGTCAGGGGTATAGTACAAGACATGGACAGATCATGGGTGGTGATATTTTGTTTACAGCCTGTGACCTGTCCGTGACTCTAAGGGAGCCTTACCCATGATATTGGGTTGATGCTGCCTCCTGCATTTTGATCTGGGTCCCAGACTAAGCAGCTGCTGCTCCCCCAGCGGGGTCTTTGCCAAGGAGAGACCTTCATTAACCCCCCTCTGTGTTCAACCGTGTGTGTGTGTGGGGGGGAGAGACGGGGGACGGGACAAACGGACAGCTTTCTTGGGAGGATAGAACCAGCCCCTGGGGCAGCCCGGGCTCTGCCAACAGCACCCTCTGAGCCAGAGCCTGCAGGTGAGGGGAGAGACCCGGGGCAAAGGGCTGGGGCCGGGCAGGAAAGTGACTCTGCCCAAGGGGCCCCTTTCAGGGACCTGCTGGTGAGTTTTTACTGGAGGGGGAGGGGCTCCCCCATGCCTGTGGGTCCCCAAACTGCTGCCTTCAGTGACACAGCCAGGCTCACACTGGAAAGCCAAAGCCCATGGGAACGGGACAGTCCCCAGTTCTCCCAGGCAGAGGGGAGAGGGATGTAGACAGGAAGGGGAGGGGTGAGATCGAAAGGGGCAGCAGGAGCAAGAAGTGGGGAGGGAGGTTCCCAGCTCCCAGCCCTGCCCGGATCCATTCCCTGCACCCCCCTGGGCCGACTGACTCTCCTGGGAACAAGGGGAGGAGCTGACAGAGGAAAATCCAGTTCCTGCCCCAGCTGAGTCAACACACTGCTGGGGAGACACACTGCCCTCGGGGCCAATGTCAGGGGGAATCCTACAAAGTAGCTCCTTAGATTCTGCTCTTTTCTAGCATTTCTCTCAGAGACTCTGTCCCTGGGGGGGGGGGTTTAAAAGTGTCTCAGGGGTTCAGTGCTGGTGGGAGGGGCTGGGTCAGTATTGTAATAGTGACTGAAGGTTTTCCCAGCATGGCAGAGTCCAGGGCATCTGTCTGCAGGGAGAGAGTCTGGGGGGAATCTAGGTGTGAAATGGACTCAAGCCCCTTCTGAAACTTCCCCCATCGCCCCTCTCGCCCTGACAGGCTGAGGAATCACGTTCATGTTTCGCTCCTGATCGTCCCGTCTTCCAGGGGACAGGGAAGGGAAATGGCTGTGATGGAGCCAGCTCAGGTAGGGGATTTTCAGGGAGCTGCAGGGGGGAGTTGCTGTAGAAGGGGAGGGGCAGGACAAACCTGCTGGGACACATTGAACTTGGAGCCTGATTTTCTGAACAGGCCCATTGGCGTGTGGGGGAGGAGGGAACATTCCCCCATTTCTGAACCAGGAAACACCCCCCCTGGGCAGGCTGGGAAAACTGATCAGACTCCCAGTGCTGGAGCCTGACCCCACTGGCCGGAGGCTGCTGTGAAATACGAAGGGAAGCTGTTGGGATTCCTGTCCCTGTCCCTGGCTCAGAGCTCTGCTTCCTGTATCAGCCTGTGGCTGGCCGGTGTGTGGGAAATGAGAAGACTCTGCCCTATTCCGTCCCCTGGGGGGACAAGGAGCTCTCACCTTCTCCCCACCCCTTGAAGCCTCCTTGCTCTGAGCAGGGTGCGGGTGGGATTCTGCTTCTCTGGGCCTCCTCCCCCATGACTAGTGGGATTGTGGCTGGGGCAGCAGGCGCTGAGTGGGGGAACTGATGTTTCAGATGCCGGTGACCTTCGAGGATGTGGCTGTGTATTTCACCGAGCGACAGGGGGCTCTGCTGGACCCCGGTCAGAGAGCTCTCTACAGGGACGTCATGCAGGAGAACCATGAGACAGTGACCTCGCTGGGTAAGGGATTCCTGGGCCCTCAGCTATTGGAAACCGTGGGGTCTGCGTGTCTGAATCTGGTCAGGTTCTTCTCTAGTCAGTCAGATTGGAGGAGGAGGGTCGCATAGTCCACAGCTCCGGTGTGCATAGGCACCGACTCCGTGGGTGCTCCCGGGCTGGAGCACCCACGGGGAAAAATTAGCGGGTGCTCTGCACCCTATGGCAGCCAAGCTCCCCTGCACTACCTCCTCCTCTTCCCCGAGCGTTCCGCGTCCACACTCCTCCGCCTATCTCACAGCGTTTCCCGCCCAGCCACCGCCAAACAGCTGTTTGCATGCTCTGGGAGGGCGGGGAGGAGCGGGAACATGGCGCGCTCAGGGCAGGAGGTGGGGAAGAGGCAGGACCGGGGCAGGGATTTGGGGAAGGAGTTAGAATAGGGGCAGGGAGGGGCAGAGTTGGGGCGGGGACTTTGGGGATGGGGTTGAAATGGGGGCTGGGAAGTGGCGGGGCCTCATGGAAGAGGTGGAGTGGGGGCGGGGCAGAGGCAGGGTCGAGCACCCACAGAAAAGAGGGGAAGTCAGCGCCTATGCCAGTGTGTGAGAGACTTGCATCTCCATCCCCCATTCAATGGAACAGGAGAGTCAGAAACCGAATGGACAGGCTAATTCATCCCCATCTCTCCAGCTGTCCAGGGGTCAGAAGCAGGGTATTGCCCTGTCTGTATTATTTCTCCTACACACTGTTCACCTTGCTCCATCCATGGGGAGGGCTCTAGGTTCTGCAGTCTTGGAAATAGGCAGGAGTTTAACATCCGAGCTGTATGTGTGTCAGCAAGTCCCCCAGAGCGCATCTACCTGAGACCTCCTAGTGAGGGGGTAAAAAAAAACCCCACCCCCAGATCCCTGCTGCTCCCAAGGGGTCTGAGTTACTACAGTCCCATGTAGGGTCAGGTTAATCTCAGGGATTGTTCCTTGTGACAAATACTCTACCAATGCTCCATGCGCCCTGAGCTTGCCTGATTTCACTCCCTGAGCAGGATTTCCCATTCCCAAACCCGACGTGATCGCCCAGCTGGAAAGAGGGGAAGAGCCGTGGGTCCCGGATCTCCAGGCCTCGGAGGAAATTGTGAGCCCGAGAGACACCTGCACAGGTGAGGAGTCAGGGAAACTAAGACAGAAACAACTGGCGAGTGAAGGAAAAAGCTGGGACTCCGAAAACGTGCCATGAGCAAGAGCCCTCAGTTTTGCCCCATCTCACCCAGGTCAGGGCTGCAGTCAGCAGGTGTCGTATCATCAAGGCAAATATCAGTCACGGCTTCCCACCCATCCTGTTAACTGTCGGGAATTTCCTCCCCGACTTTACTTCCCTGGGAGTGTTTGGGTGGCGGCAGAAATCCAACATCTCAATCTTCCCAACAGTCACTGTGTTGTGTTTTCCCTCTTTGCTATTCCCCTTTCTGTCCTGTCTCCCCAGCACAGGCAGTGACTCCTGTCTGGATTCTCTCTCTCCCAGCAGGTGATAGGACAGTGAGTGAGACCAAGGAGGAGACTCATCAGCAGGAAGGTCCTGAGCAAGTGGAATTGCAGGAGAGGTTTTTGAGAAGACCTGAAGAGAATTTTTCCGAGTGCTTGGAGCAGGGAAATGCCTGGGGAGATCGACACGGATCAGAGATGCAGCTGGGAAACTATCCCAGGAAGAAACTGGATGAATCCACTAAATGTGGCGGAGGATGTAAGGATCCCAAGGAAACCACAGTCCAGCAGAGAAGTCACAATGAAGAGAAACCCTACAAATGCCTTGACTGTGGGAAACGATTCCATTTCAGTACAATCCTTCTTACACATTGGAGAACCCACACAGGAGAGAAACCCTATAAATGCCTTGAGTGTGGGAAAAGATTTAATTGGAGGTCACAGCTTATGTCACATCACAGAACCCACACAGGAGAGAAGCCCTATAAATGCTTAGACTGTGGGAAAAGCTTCAGTAGGAAGCTAGTTCTTATTGTACACCAGAGACTGCACACAGGAGAGAAACCCTATAAATGCCTTGTGTGTGGGAAAAGTTTTAGGCAGTGGGCACTGCTTATGTCACATCAGAGAACAATCTCAGGAGAGAAGCCTTATAAATGCTTAGACTGTGGGAAAACCTTCATTCACAAGTCAAACCTTATTATACACCAGAGAGTACACACAGGAGAGAGACCCTTTAAATGCCACGAGTGTGGGAAAACTCTCAGTTACCTCTCAAATCTTATTAAACATGGGAAAATCCACATCAGAGAGATGCATTATAAATGCCTTGACTGTGGGAAAAGTTTCACTGACAGAATAAAACTTACTAGACATCAGAGAATCCATACAGGAGAGAGACCCCATAAATGCTTCGACTGTGGGAAAAGCTTCATCGACAGAATAAAATTTACTAGTCATCAAAGAATGCATACAGGAGAGAGACCCTATAAATGCTTTGACTGTGGGAAAAGCTTCATCGATAGAATAAAATTTACTAGTCATCAAAGAATGCATACAGGAGAGAGACCCTATAAATGCTTTGACTGTGGGAAAAGCTTCATCGATAGAATAAAATTTACTA